TGTCCTTGCACGACACTGTCCGGAAATACTGCTGCGAATCCGATGCCATCAGAAGACTTAGAACCATTGGTGCACACTGCGATGGCACGAGTGGTTGTTAGCAAAGGCATTGCGAATATACATATCTAAGTGGAGCATATTGGTGAGGGGAAAGGCTACTGTCTCTAAGAACCACATCAGACTTTTATTCACCAATTGTTCCATCACCTTGCAGACCACACTGGTCAAGGCAATGGGACAATAGTGAGAGGCGTCAAGTCCCGAGGTGCCTGGCTTGTGAAACGGTAGTACAATAGCCGATTTCCAATGTTGAGGTAGAACCCCTCGCATCCAAATTAGATTGAAAACATGTAAAAGAGCGGCAAGGGCCATAGAATGGAGATGTTGAAGCATACTGATGTGGATATCATCAGGTCCTGGTGCCGACGGCCAGCAAATGGAAAGCATGGACTCCAGTTCTTGAAGAGTAAAAGGTACGTTATATGGCTCCAATCCATCGGAGGAGAAATCTAAAGGCAATTGCTCTTTGGTAGGTTTAGATGCAAGAAATGAGGGACAGAGGTGAAGCCCTTGGGAGATATGGACAAGATAGTTCCCGAATGTTGTGGCAACTTCTAAGGGTTCTGTGACATCAACTCCAGCAACCTGCAAAATGAAAGCTGGGTCCGGAGTGTACTTACCACACAATTTCTGCACCTTTTTCCAAATCATGCACATAGGAGAAGACGAGTTAATGGTAGACACGTAGTCTTGCCAACAAATGCACTTAGCGTCACAGATGACGCGGCGAGCAGCTGCACTTGCCTGCTTAAAATCCAACAGACGCTCCGCGGTATGATTATATTGATAACGGCCCCATGCAGCACGTTTTAAACGCATTGCACAGGCGCACGTAGGAGACCACCAAGGTACGCATGCCTGAGAATGCCTACTTGAGGTTTAGGGGATAGAACGCGTCGCCACAGTTAGGACCAAGGTCAAAAAGTGGTATGCCAGTTCATCAATAGAGGACTAAAGGGGATCCTCACAACAGCCAGTAAGATGGGAGTATAAGTCCCAATCTGCTCGAGCAAATTGCCAACGAGGGCTACAAAATGGTCAAGCATATGTAGAAGTAAGAAGGATGGGAAAGTGATCACTATCGTGTAAATCTGGAAGAAAAAACCATGCGAGACCAAGTGCAATGAGCAAGGAACAGACAGAAAGATCAATGCAGGAGAGAGACCGAGTACAAGTCAAAATGGGTAGGAGCAGCCGTGTTTAAAACATGAATAGGATAAGATGTGAGAAGTCACCAACTGATCACCACGAGTCACAGTGGGACCCTCCCCACAGGTGATGGCGAGTGTTAAAATCACCCAACAACAATATAAGCGGTGGTAGAGATGAAATTTAAAATGTGATATCAGAGATCCAGAATGCACAGGAGGGAGAAAGATAGAGAGATCAAACTGTTAACCATCAGTGTAAAACGAGCTGCAGTATAATGCAGCGGGAAATGAATAAATTGTCGATACGGTATATCAACACATACAAGAAGTGCGCTTTCATTAAATAATTCATCAGGTAAAGGATCGGAAGAATGTATTAGCAAGTAGCCCGAAATGGGACAAATGACAGCGGAACGAATTTTGGGCTCTTGCAACCCAACACATACAGGGGACAACCGGGAGAGCAACAATTGGAGTTCTCCTCGATTACCCCTAAGGCCACGAATATTCCATTGTAAAAAAGACATTATGAACAGAAATAAAAATAACAATAAGAAACGATAAAACCTATGGGCTTTGAGGATCAGTAAAGTTAATGTGTGGAGAGAACGGTGTGTAAGGAAGAATTAGAATATTGCAGAGGAATAGATTGTTGCATGGGGAGTATGGGGTAGGGAAGGGAGTACTGGGGGGGGGGTAATTAGGTTCGGTCGGAGGAAGACAAAGAGGTCCAATTCCTCAGATCGATAGCCTCTTTACCGCTGCAAGGAGCCCACCTTAGAGGTCCTTCCCTGGAGCCATGGAGGGTCATACCAATAGGGTAGACAACTGCATCCCAGATAACAGCTCGCAAGACATCCCAGGGTCTTCTATCACGTGGAAAAAAACGTTTCCTGAAGCCCAAGCCTGGAATTCAGGACTGTAACTGCTGATGCTCGATACATGGGAAAAACCTTCAGCAAAAGTGTTGGTCACCCAAGGGTCATCACAACCTGACCTTGATGGAAATTATGTATAATCAAGGAGGAAGCGCTAAACCCATAGGATTATACAGCACCTGTGGAGGGGGGGGGGATGGAAGGTATTCAGGCTCAATTCAAAGAACTGGAACACAGATCCAGTTATCTAGATCAAGAGCCCCTCACCAGCATCAAGGCCTTGAGGGGCCTTGATGGAAAAAGCTGGGCAGTGGGCTTGGGAAGTACTGTATGTTACCAGTCATAAGTCGCAAGTAGCCATAAGACACAGGGATATACACTATCTCAAATAACCAGGTTTTTGCTTAACCCGTCATAAGATACAGGGTTATATTTTCAGGTCTCATAGTTGGGAGTAAATTGGGTCTTTCTGCATCGGTAGTCAAAATATGCAGTTTGCATACCCCTGTGAGCTCAGCAGTAATTATAATCAAAACTAAGTTCTAAACCACCAGTCATACAGCACTGAAGGGTAGTTAGTAAGGGCAGTGAGGAGTGCTAAAGGAAGTATAATCAAAGGTTGTGTAATAAACATGTTGCTGTCAAAGAGGGAGTCTGTGTCAAAGGTGGGGCTGTCAGCAAAGGAGAGAAGATAAAGTAGGTGTTAGAGCAGTGAGGATGTCAATGGTATATTCTGCATGCTCGATGATAGACTGCACTATTCAAAAGAATATAGCAAACTGAAATTGAAACCTGACAGTCAGCAGTGAAACTGGGCACCTCTCCACGAGGTACCCAAGAGTGAGAAATGTGCACCCGATGTGAAAATGGGGAAAGCAGTCTCCCATCTACGACATCAATAAGATGACCAGGATCCTAAACTCAGCCTGATAGTGTGTAATTTATTATGAATCAATTCAGACCAACGTTGTTGCCAATGATTGCAGAGTCTGCCTGCTCAATGCCCTAACATCAACTGCCCAGGTACCCAGCAGAAAATAATTTCTTTGTTTTTTCTAAAAATGCAGCATAACCAAGGTTGTATACAAAGACCTTGGGGATGAGGCAAATTAAATTTTTTGAAAGCTTGCAAAGCTTAGTACCAAGGAATCCAAGACTTCCACAAATGATGAGGTAGGCCTGGACACAATATGGATAATTGTGAAGATGATACTAGTCTAATAAATGACCTCGTGCAACACTGTCCGGGAACACTACTGCAAACCCGACACCGTCAGAGGATTTAGAACCGTCAATGTCAACTGCAACGGCCCGAGAATGAGACTGGAAGTGGTTAAGAAAAACGGAGCGAGATACCACTGTAGGCATCTAAACTTTCACACACACAAGTGAGGAAGAACAGACAAACTGTTGGAACCTCTCAAGGGGTAAGAGAAAAGTTAGATGCTAGATGTACATATAAAGGGGGCAACTAAAGATTAGTCCAGTTAGATTAGTACTTGCCAGAAATCTTTCTGATCTTATGCTATATCCATCTGGGAGGAAAACCGGAATCAACACTCTCCATGTAACAAATTCAAGATGCACAGTGAGCATTTCTGAACACCTTCCACCTCGTGGCCAATCCCTGACTGGTACAGTACATCAGCCTATTAACCAGTGAATAGTGATCCCTGAGGCAAATAACCCATACATACAATTTGGCAGTTCTTCTCAGTCCTTATTCCACCATGGGACTGACCAAAAAATCTTAGCTGCTGCTGTCACACGAGAACTAGTCATTAGGCCCCTGCATATCGGAAAAATCACCAAGGTCACAAAAGATCTCTCCCGGAGCCTCAGTTGCCAGTCTGCCACCTCCAGCTTGCACCATGGAGGGTCAACAGGAGTGAAATATTCTGACCACTGAAGGAGAAAATCCCTACCATGTAAAGCTCAGAAGAATAAATCGCTTGAAGTCCAATAAGCAGAGCTGGAACAAATAAAGCTCTATTTCCAAGAAGACATCTGAATCAACATTATGATAGGTCAGGGGCCCATTGTTCAGGATGCTAACATCCAAAGGATGTTTGCAAAGTCTTTATCCATTAGAATAATAAATATAAAAAAGTAATAAAGTCGAAGAATCTAGGTCAAAGGTGGAACTTTCTGTGAGAAAGTCAGGTAGTGTGTGTTAGGGCAGTGGAGACTGGAAGTGAATTCTGCATGTCCTCTGATACACAGAACAATCTATTAAGACACAGTGAGCTGACAATGCAACCCAACAATCTTTGTAGAATGGTGTCGGGCATTTTTCCATGAAATGTCCGTTAGACATGTGGCTGATACACAGGCAGAAAAGCAGTCTTCCAAACGTAACAGCATTGGTAAGGGGATGGCCAGAAACCCAAACATTTATTGTGGACCAACTTGGACCACTGTTGTTGCCAATGGTTGTGAGGACGTCAAAAGATTGCTGAAAAATGGTGAAAAAGGAATACCCCTATATGACAATGGGAGGTGGTCACAAACAGCTGACTGAGAAGCAGAGTCTATCTGTTTGTTGCCCCAGACATCAAGGTGTCCAGGGACCCAGCAAAAAATGGTGTCTAAAGAAATGCATCACAATGAAAATTCTATATGTAGGAAGATAGGATGAGGGTAATAAAATTTCTGGATAGCCTGTAAAGTACTATGGGAGTGTGAAATGACCCCGAATGACAGTGAACAGCAACTCAGCTGCAAAAATACTGGCTAAGTCTAGTAAATGACCTTGAATAATGCTCTCAGAATTTCATCAAATCCAGCTAGAGAACTCGGAAAAATGTCTGGCAATTCTGAGTAACTTCACTGCTTTTAATATGTTCAAATTTAGTCCATTATAATAAAATTAAAATGTCAAACATATTTCTATCAGGATTAAATAAACACATTTTCCAATAAAATATTTTCAATCTTTGTACATACATTTTTTAACTGTTTACATTGTATTAATTACATTTTAGCACTAGATTATGTTGCACACAAACCACATGGTATGTCCAACAGCCAAAAATCTACACTGAATTTCTACAGCACATGTCCATAGAGAATATCCATATAGGCTACATGCTCCAATCAGGAAATTTAAACTAAAAACAGTAATTTAATAAAGCTTAATGTCAATTCCATAAGTTCGTGCAAACAAGCATTATTAAAGAACAATTTAAAGTTAAAATTCCCTGTTTGTAGACCTTTATCAGAGGGAGCATTCAACATTTTTAGTAACCTTAATGCAGTTACCACAGACTTGTAAACAGTAACAACAAATCAATAATCTCATGGGAATTGAGGTTCATTGGGAAGAGGGAGAAGGAAGACGCAGGAAAGTGTGGGATGATTACGGTAGACTTGCGGTAATGCTGCTCAACTAAAAAGCATCGATTTCTCTTGCACACCATCAAAGTCACCTTTTATCCTACCATGAAAATGAGATGTATTATTCTACCCAGCACACATTATCATGAGCCTGTGTAAAAAATGTGGGAGGGAATTATCTTGGATATATCACTTATTTACAGTATGCCAAACAAGCATGCCCCTTAAGAGCTTTGTGGTCGTATGACAAACTGGATGTCACAGAAATGGGGGAGGGCACGGGAGGAAAAAAGCCAGCAAATTCATATTTGCATTACACTATCTTACCACCAACATCATATCTACAAGAATTTTCCTTAAAACTCTTGATTACTCATACACAATAATCTCTGAAGATAATACATTACTGGATGATAAATTTGCTCATACATAAAACTTCATATAAATTTAAAGTACACAGTTTTATAATTATGTAATCCAATTTTTACTATTTTTATGAAAAAAAAAAAACATACAAAAATATTGTAAATTCTGACAGAGAATAAGTCTTAGGCTAGAGTCAGAAGCTACACAGAGATATCTCTTGTTCATTTGCCACTTGTCACTTTGGCACAAATTTTGAAGTGTTACATAAGGTTTAGTACACACTTGGGTGATCATAACCAATTTATCTATTTCAACAACTATTTACAGAGTTGCCAAACTGTCAATTGGTATCATCTCCTTAAAATTATATTTAACCTCATATAATTCATCAATATTTGCATAAACTTTTAGCAGTTATAAGACAGTTAGCTTTGTGAACAAAAAGGAATATGGCTTAAGAACATACCTTTTATATTTCATAAACAGCAAAATCTCTTACATTAACACTTTCAAGCTAGTTTTTAGTAATGCCAAAATAATGTATCTGATTAGTTAAAGTATAAAATAAACTGTCACAAGGTCTCCTACATAAACATTCAAAATGGCTCTTGTGACTAGTGTCTGTAGCAATCACCTGATGTTTTACTCCAAATGTGACTGCCTGATGAATATAATACAAGTCAGAGATTTTTAGTTATATCAAAGGGAGTAAGAGTTGCATATACAGTATATAAGAGACTGTTCAATTACTGATGGTAAAAACTTACAGAACTCCATTCAGAATATCTTTGTACAAAGTTACAGTTCAGGACTAGACTTTACGAATTGTTGTAGTATATGATTTGATCGTCTCTCAGAGACAATAATCCACTGACATAAATAACTTTCTCTTTTAAAAAATTAGACGAGTTACCATAAATTTAATTTTACCCAACATTTTTTTTTCCGTACAAATCAATTTGATAAACACAGCATTTATAATCCTATAAAAAAAAGCGTATATATTTTTTGAGATTTGGATTTGTACAATGACATGCAAAGTATCATTCTGTACATCATTTACATAACTTGATAAATTTACTTATCACATACACTATGACATTATCTCGAGTAATTATAATCTTTTCCTTATCCTCTACACAACATCAAATTAATCTTATTTAATAGAATATCCCATCTTTTATCTAAGAGGTTCACCAAATAACAGTCTAGTTACTTATCAAGTTATAATACCATACTGTAAAAACTAATGCATATAAATATAATAGAAAATAAAAAATTGCCAGATACATCATTATTATTTTTAAGAAATGTAATGACATGGTCACAAGTACACTCAAAACAAAAGAATAAAAAATTACAATACAGTGGTTGGAACAATTCTATAAAAAAAAAAAAAAAAAAAAAAAAAAAAAAAAAAAAAAAAAAAAAAAGAGAGAGAGAGAGAGAGAGAGAGAGAGAGAGAGAGAGAGAGGAGAGGAACGTTATGAATATGTTCTGGATCATTAAGACCAACACATCATCTTAAGGTTTCTCTCCTAAGTGTGCATTTTTGCTGAATACTCAAAATGAATTATCAATTGTTATTGAGCTCCATGGAAGAAAAAAACATTCAAGAAGTGGGAGACTATGTCCAGGGGGACACCTATTCTGTTAGTGGTAGACCCAATGGTGTGAAACTTGAAGGACATCCTCAAAAGCACCTTATCCATAGTGGCACTTATAGTACTGTCTATAATAATAAGAAAAGATATTTTTCTTTCTGAAAAATAGTTATTAATTTGGTAAACAAATTTATTTAAATTATACACTTGATTTTTTAAGTTGTTTGTATAAAGATATAAATACTGTATAATAATTTTATTATTTTCTAACTCATGCAATAAAAAGTAATTGTTTTTCTCTTTGAAAATAAATATTTTTTTCTTTCTGAAAATAAAGTTGGTACCAAAAAAATTTCAAATAACACTGAGTATTTTTAAGGGACTGTAAAATTAATACATGTTTCTTGTGGCCATCACAATCACCTTCATAAATAAAATATAATAGTATTAGGTAATAATCTTGAAGCAATACATACACCCAACATAATGCACTTATAACAACTGCTAATTAAACTGTTGTCAGATTTTGTTTGTAGATTAGGTGTCTATTTTTAGTCTGGCCTAATATTAATACTGTCTCGAATTATCACTAATATTTTAAGGTGACTTAACTACTGAAGCATGTTTAATATTTATATGTATACTAGGTATACTTTTGTAATTTTGAAAATATTAAATTCCAAAATGATTATTAAAAAAAAAATTTTCAGTACACACAAACAAAATTTTATAGTAAAATATTTAACTTTTGAAATAAGTATAAACTCTTAAAAGCAGTATAAATTGTATAACCATAAACAAAACCTATTTAATCTAAATTCTTATGTGCAGCAAAGACAGGGTTTCAACAGTCCTTTTCTTGTTTCAAAAATCCATTGCAACAATTTGGTAAAAGACATGAAAACACAGTTTTCTTCATACAGTAGCAGAATTATCATAGCATGAAGTTCCCTGGTAGATGGACTGGGCATGATGGCCTCATCTAATGTCCCCACACTGCCCTGCCCCATTACACTTCTTGTAGGGATTTTTGAAAGATTATATTTTCTAGATACAGTACTAGCTGCTGGCATTAAAACATTCAGTTGGCCAATATATGTTGAATAAACTGCAGCATCAGTTAGACGAGTCATGGGCCACTCGAAGTGCACATGTTAAAGTAGCATAAATTAGACAACTATGAAGTTGTATAAAAACTGTTATTAGCTCATCTAATAAATGCAGAAAATTGCCTTTTCATAGTGCCACTATGTTGCAAAAAAACATTAAATCAGAAAAGGACTTTATGGACATGCTGCATTAATTTGAGTACATTTTCCACTTACTGCTCTATGGAAGGAGCACTCTTAGGATACTTAACCTTAAGCTGATGTTAATGATGTATCACAGGGTACTGTTATGATACTCTTTGTTGACTTCTACAATGGACTGGGTCAACAGAGGTGACTGATTAGCTATGAGAAAAGTTATCTATATGAATGTCTGACTACACTACAATAAACATAGTATGTTCTTGGTTTGGACATTAGTTTTGATTTTCATTAATGTGCGATAAAAAACAAAGCCAGTGTGGTGCATGAACGATGACAGTTTTAGTTTTTATGGGCGGTAAGTTGAAATATATGAACATTGGGCAGTAATTTAACATACACAATATACATGAACAAATAACAAGTAAAGAACATGCAATAAACATTCTCAAACACAACATGATTGTGCTACTGTGTCTCAAAGATGCATCTGGGTTTTCTACATACCACCTTGTTTCTCACAAAATTTGTATCAGAAACAATGTACTCTACTTGTAAATTAATGTTGTATAGTAACATTTCTCATCAAAATTTTAATAAATTGGGTACTTGATTACTATGTATCTCTTCTGATACTGTTTAAATGAGAAACCAAGATGAGATGTACTAATAAATCTTTTCTACCCTTACCCATCAACAGGGTATTTTGATGCTGGTGAAGAGCTCTTGATTCAAGGAATTGGAGCTATTCTCCCCTTCTTCAAATCATGCCTGATTACCTCCCAATTCCCAGGCGCTGCATGACCTTTATGGGTTTAGCACTTTCCCATGAATATAATAATATACTTGTACATAATGCTACACAGTAACAAAAATAAGCAACTGGATCCATAATTCTCCCATACATATGCAAACTGAGTATTGAAACTGAGACATATTGAGCATTGGGAAATGTAGCTTAAAATCTCAAAACATGAATAACTACTTGGCACTGAGCTAAGGGGACATAACCAGCTTAGGACTACAAATCAGTTATCTCCTGTGCAGGTCCTAATATCTGACTATCAATCACCCTAAGCAGTAGTGGTTCATTTTGAACTGCCAGCAGAGACGGAGGTTGGTATTAAGATTAAACTTACTGCAACCATCTTGTTTTGTACACAATCCACGAATATGTGCTTGGTATCCATACACAGGGTCCAAGTACATATTTGCCGACAAAATAGGTGGATCAACCCTTACTGCATTCTGAAGTCGAGATATTTACCACTCGTATAAAATTTATATTTAACTAGAACTTGGCAAGACATGGTCAGCAAGCAGTGCATTGTGAACAGAAAGCCAAAAATAACATTATTCACTGCTACTCAAAAAATTCAGCTCATTTTTTTTATTTTTTCTGCATCACAAAAAAAAAAAATAAATAAATAAAAAAAAAATCCAGATAACACTTAATAAAAATTTAGTATAAGCCATAAATACTGCACTAAGCTATAAAAGTTCCCTTCAGGTTACACAAAAATTTAATATTAACACAACACTGAAGTTCCTTCAATGTATGAAGATTTAAGATGAAATTCTTCTTTGCAATATCTAACTTCTGCAATGAAATTACATGGGTAGATTAACAGTAGGGTAATGTTTCTATTTTTTCCAAATGCCTAACTTGTAAATGACATCTTTAAATCTTGGAGATCCAATTCCATCTAATTCTGCTGGCTGAACACCAACTACCAGGAGCAAGTCTTTGTACTTTCTAAAGGTGTACCACATTGATAACAGAGGGATTAATAATTAGCAAAGCTCGCAAGATTTGCACTACAAATCCCCAAAGTCACTACAGAAAACACTAAAGGTACACAGTTTTTTCATTCATTTTCACCAAACCATTTTCAGATCATCACTGCACTGATGATTTGGTAACATACAATTTACATTCCTCAAAGTTTTCAAGTACACAAGTTTTTGGAGGAAATATGGAAGTTTGTTTCCAGGATATGGACACTTCTGCCTCTTAAGTAATCCAAAGGTATACTGTAATATTATTAAAGGTCTTTGGAAACATCTTTTCATACTGCAATGGAAATGCAGTTATCAAATAATTATTAAAAAGTGAAAATGGTAAAGCCAATTGCCTACCACAATATGGGTTTCACACCATTGATGGTTTATGGTTAGGCGAGTAAACCACTGAATGCGGTTCTTGACTTCGAGCCAAAAGCTTTTTAGGTGACATAACTACAGGATCATGAAAGGCTAATGTCTCCTGGGATACATTCCCAGACACATATCCAGAGCTTTGCTTGGAGAGAGAAGGTCCTAAGGGAGTCCATTTATTTCCTGCTCGGTTGTGGTTTGTTTCAGATGTATTTGGTCGAGTTGGTAGAGAAGGTCGACCCCGAGAGCCTTCTATTGGTGCTGATGTCACCTCTCGGCTCTCGTCGCTAGTGCGTGGTGGCTTTATTGGATGAGCCCAATGACCATTTCCCATTTCCCCAACAGATACATAGTCAGTATTTACTTTCTCAGGTTCTTTCTTTGGAGATGCGATGGATTCTGCCATTGCACATGTAACATAAGCAGATTTATTAACTGGAGAAGAAGAGCTAACAGTTGGTGTTGTTTGTGATGCTAATTCCTGAGTGATACTAACATATCCAGTGGAGGAGCCATGTTGAGGATCAGGTGAGCCACGAGCACCAACCCTACAGTATGCACCAGGTGGAAGGTCTTCATCAGGTGTAGTTATAGATTTGTTGGTACCAAAGGGAAGTGATGGAAGTGATGGTTGTCTTTTCATTCTGCCCATACCATCACTAAGTGCTACACTGCCCACAGCATCACCAAGTGCTACATACCCACCAGCACTCCGAGTATCTCTCATCACACTCTCAGCTTGAGCTACTGCAACGTACCCTGTGTTTAACCATGGTAATGACTCAGCCTTTGTATATGGTGATAGTTCAGGAGTTGAAGCTTTCTTGTGAGAAAAATTATGCCGAGAGTAAGCAGGGAGACCACTCTGACCCCGTCCCTCAGGAGGAAAAGCAAAATTACTCATTACGTCCAAAGGCAGATTAATGGCATCAGCATCAGCCTCAGGCATGCTTATATATCCAGTAGAAGTGCGTCTAGCTCCTAAAGGCACTTCTGGCAGAGCCCCAAGAGCGAGACTTGGTGTTGACTGTTGTAAGGCTAGTAGTCCTTCTGCCAATCCTCCAGCCAAATTAGGCACAGACCCAACAGACACATATCCACCCATACCAGACATCTGGTGAAGTAAAGCAAAATTAGCAAGGTCAAAGATTGATTTTTATTCATGCTTTGAAATCAAAATTTCCTTCACCCCTATTTTGTCTTTATAAAAGAGCACATATAAGCTTAGATAATGATATTAAAAATATTAACTCCTGAGCCAAAATCCAGTTTTGGGTTGCTAATGCATTTTAAGTGTCACCAAAGGTCTCCAGTGATTGTCTAAACTTCCTTTCCATAGTCCATGTCATTCATGCCACCCAAACATATCTTTCCTTCTATTAGTCTGTAAACACCAAAGTACAAAAATCTAGACTTTTTTTTTTTAACACAATGGCACATCTTCTACTGAGGTAGAGTAACCCATAAAGGAAACTTATTCACCATCACATTCAATAGCTGTCTTGCCATTTATGAAAAGCCAGTATATCAGTGTATTCTAGAAAGATAAATGAAATGGTAATGTTTTAATTGAATTTTTGTGGGTTTGCTTCATGTGAATTCACTAGCATGTAGTGTTCCATTGTTATGTGAAATATCAAGGAGATTGCAAAACATACTGTACATTCTTATTACGCAGAAGTGTTATGACCTAATAAAGCAAGCTATTGTACGGTTTTTTACTTCATTTAAGTGTAAGCAACTTTTTTTTTTTTTTTTATTTTGAGAGAGAGAGAGAAAAATTATACAAGTTTTTGTCACAACTGAAGAAACACAAATAAAAGAAAAAATCAAGATAAAAATGATGATAATACAATGATAAGTTCTTAAATTCTGAACTGACATACATCACTAATTATGTAGTTATCAAGCAACAGTATGTCATTGTTAAGAACACTAGCAGAATTATTCAAGGAAAGTAAATTCAGGTTCTCTCTCTCTTAAATACATTCAGCAGTGCTCTACTTCCTCCAACAAACTAGTGGCTTCCTATATTGTGGCTTGGGAAATTGCAAAACTAGTACAGTAGCTGTCAATATAGTAACATCGGCAGTAAGATCAAGTGGATTCCTTTCTCAAGTGATATAATTCGTGCACGCATCTATGACAGTGAGGAGTGATTGGTGGAATGATGAAGTAAAGGGTGTGATAAAAGAGAAAAAGGTAGCTTATGAGAGGTTTTTACAAAGCAGAAGTGTTATAAGAAGAGCAGAGTATATGGAGAGTAAAAGGAAGGTAAAGAGAGTGGTGAGAGAGTGCAAAAGGAGAGCAGATGATAGAGTGGGAGAGGCACTGTCAAGAAATTTTAATGAAAATAAGAAAAAATTTTGGAGTGAGTTAAACAAGTTAAGAAAGCCTAGGGAAAATATGGATTTGTCAGTTAAAAACAGAGTAGGGGAGTTAGTAGATGGGGAGATGGAGGTATTGGGTAGATGGCGAGAATATTTTGAGGAACTTTTAAATGTTAAGGAAGAAACAGAGGCAGTAATTTCATGCACTGGTCAGGGAGGTATACCATCTTTTAGGAGTGAAGAAGAGCAGAATGTAAGTGTGGGGGAGGTACGTGAGGCATTACGTAAAATGAAAGGGGGTAAAGCAGCTGGAACTGATGGGATCATGACAGAAATGTTAAAAGCAGGGGGGGATATAGTGTTGGAGTGGTTGGTACTTTTGTTTAATAAATGTATGAAAGAGGGGAAGGTACCTAGGGATTGGCAGAGAGCATGTATAGTCCCTTTATATAAAGGGAAAGGGGACAAAAGAGACTGTAAAAATTATAGAGGAATAAGCTTACTGAGTATACCAGGAAAAGTGTACGGTAGGGTTATAATTGAAAGAATTAGAGGTAAGACAGAATGTAGGATTGCGGATGAGCAAGGAGGTTTTAGAGTGGGTAGGGGATGTGTAGATCAGGTGTTTACATTGAAGCATATATGTGAACAGTATTTAGATAAAGATAGGGAAGTTTTTATTGCATTTATGGATTTAGAAAAGGCATATGATAGAGTGGATAGAGGAGCAATGTGGCAGATGTTGCAAGTATATGGAATAGGTGGTAAGTTATTAAATGCTGTAAAGAGTTTTTATGAGGATAGTGAGGCTCAGGTTAGGGTGTGTAGAAGAGAGGGAGACTACTTCCCGGTAAAAGTAGGTCTTAGACAGGGATGTGTAATGTCACCATGGTTGTTTAATATATTTATAGATGGGGTTGTAAAGGAAGTAAATGCTAGGGTGTTTGGGAGAGGGGTGGGATTAAATTATGGGGAATCAAATTCAAAATGGGAATTGACACAGTTACTTTTTGCTGATGATACTGTGCTTATGGGAGATTTCTAAAGAAAAATTGCAAAGGTTAGTGGATGAGTTTGGGAATGTGTGTAAAGGTAGAAAGTTGAAAGTGAACATTAGAAAAGAGTAAGGTGATGAGGGTGTCAAATGATTTAGATAAAGAAAAATTGGATATCAAATTGGGGAGGAGGAGTATGGAAGAAGTGAATGTTTTCAGATACTTGGGAGTTGACGTGTCGGCGGATGGATTTATGAAGGATGAGGTTAATCATAGAATTGATGAGGGAAAAAAGGTGAGTGGTGCGTTGAGGTATATGTGGAGTCAAAAAACGTTATCTATGGAGGCAAAGAAGGGAATGTATGAAAGTATAGTAGTACCAACACTCTTATATGGGTGTGAAGCTTGGGTGGTAAATGCAGCAGCGAGGAGACGGTTGGAGGCAGCGGAGATGTCCTGTTTAAGGGCAATGTGTGGTGTAAATATTATGCAGAAAATTCGGAGTGTGGAAATTAGGAGAAGGTGTGGAGTTAATAAAAGTATTAGTCAGAGGGCAGAAGAGGGGTTGTTGAGGTGGTTTGGTCATTTAGAGAGAATGGATCACAGTAGAATGACATGGAAAGCATATAAATCTATAGGGGAAGGAAGGCGGGGTAGGGGTCGTCCTCGAAAGGGTTGGAGAGAGGGGGTAAAGGAGGTTTTGTGGGTAAGGGGCTTGGACTTCCAGCAAGCGTGCGTGAGCGTGTTAGATAGGAGTGAATGGAGACGAATGGTACTTGGGACCTGACGATCTGTTGGAGTGTGAGCAGGGTAATATTTAGTGAAGGGATTCAGGGAAACCGGTTATTTTCATATAGTCGGACTTGAGTCCTGGAAATGGGAAGTACAATGCCTGCACTTTAAAGGAGGGGTTTTGGGATATTGGCAGTTTGGAGGGATATGTTGTGTATCTTTATATGTTTATGCTTCTAGACTGTTGTATTCTGAGCACCTCTGCAAAAACAGTGATAATGTGCGAGTGTGGTGAAAGTGTTGAATGATGATGAAAGTATTTTCTTTTTGGGGATTTTCTTTCTTTTTTGGGTCACCCTGCCTCGGTGGGAGACGGCCGACTTGTTGAAAAAAAAAAAAAAAAAAAAAATCTATGACAGGTCAAATGACACTAAGAAATGCAAGTGACTGCAGCCAAAAATACAAGTGGGCAATTTAGTCTGAAGTTTGATTAATCACAATGTTAATGAAACTGTCTAATTCATGGCATACATAATATACAGGTACCATCCGACTTACGACCTAGTTTGGTTCCGACAAACCGGTCGTAAGTCAAAATGGATGTAAGTCGAACCTTACTACTGAATATCAACATCACATTTTTGTAATGACTATTTTATTGTTTTATTTTGGTGTTTCATGTTTTACTTTACTTTTTATGCTGTTAGTACTGTATTTTATACTGTAAGGTTTAGGATAAACACTGTGTACAACACAAACAGTTGTTTATTTCCCAGAAATTTGGCATAGAAAACAAGGTCGTAAGTCAAATGGTCATATGTCGAGCAGGTCGTAAATCGGATGGTAGGTGTACATATCAAGTTCGAAAAGACATGAAGAGTATGTGGTTTACTAGCTGTTACCACTGCAACCAGAGAAGAATTTTCAAGATAATACAATAATTCACTGAAGAAGAAAAACATATGAAATCAGTTCATGATGTGGTGGTGTACTGTCAACATTAGGAACACATTACACCTACCATCCGACTTATGACCTGCTTGACATACGACCACTCGACTTACGACCGTGTTTTTTATGCCAAATTTCTGGGAAATAAACAACTATTTGTGTTATACACAGTGTTTATCCATAAGTGTCCGGGGCCCAAGACTGTTCAACAGCCTCCCATCAAGCATTAGGGGAATTGCCAATAAACCCCTGGCTGCCTTCAAGAGAGAGCTGGACAGATACCTAAAGTCAGTGCTGGATCAGCCGGGCTGTGGCTCGTACGTTGGACTGCGTGCAGCCAGCAGTAACAGCCTAGCTGATCAGGCCCTGATCCATCAGGAGGCCTGGTCGTGGGCCGGGCCGCGGGGGTGTTGATCCCCGGAATAACCTCCAGGTAAACCTTACAGTATAAAATACAGTACTAACAGCATAAAAAGCAAAGTAAAACATGAAATACCAAAATAAAACAATAAAATAAAGTCATTGCAAAAATGTGCTGTTGATATTCAGTAGTAAAGTTCGACTTACATCCATTTTGACTTACGACCGGTTGGTCGGAACCGAGCTCGGTCGTAAGTCGGATGGTAGGTGTATCATTTCACTGCTCAAGGTCAAGTTGCTGTCATGAGGAAAAAAACACAAGGCAGAAGCAAAAATATTTATCATTGGGGACTTTAACCCTTAAACTGTCCAAACGTAGATCTACGTTTGTACACGTAGCGCTCCGAATGTAGATCAAAGTTTTATTTTTCATTCCTTCAAATTTGGTACAATAGGCTTGAGTCGCCTAGTCATGAAAGAATGGGTCTGTGCACTCAGTGTGCGCAGTATTAAAAAAAATCTGGGAGCACTTAGTATCTTGTGGGAGCACCAGTTCAACTGAGCGCCAGCTAGAGCAAATAGCGAGGCAAACACAGGGGATTCACTGATGCCATGTCGCATTAACACTCTCATTTTAAGAGGAAAGCAAAAATAGGTGAGATAAATACACAAGTGAGTGTGGGTGGGTGTGAGTTGGACCTGACTAGCTTGTGCTACTAGGTCTGATGTCATGCTCCTTCCTTCAATGGATATGACCTGACTAGGTTAGTCATTGGTCTAAGCCAGGGGAGGATCATGGGCCTGCCTTGCATGGGCCAGTAGGCCTGCTGCAGTGTCCCTTCTTTCTTATGTATTCAGCAGGCTGTCCGGCAGGCTGGCTGACTGGCTTGCTTTGGCTGTCTCTGTCTATATCTCTATTTGTCTATATCTCTGTCTATCTGTATCTCTGTCTATCTGTATCTCTGTCTATCTATATCTCTGTCTATCTATATCTCTGTCTATCTATATCTCTGTCTATCTATATCTCTGTCTATCTATATCTCTGTCTATCTATATCTCTGTCTATCTATATCTCTGTCTATCTATATCTCTGTCTATCTATATCTCTGTCTATCTATATCTCTGTCTCACATGTACACATAATTACAGTTATTATAGTGTAAATTACCTAGGATAACCCAAAAATTCCAGGCAAAGATAGACAGACAGATAGATAGATAGACAGAGAGAGAAACATGTTTGTGTGTATCAGTGAAAACAAAAGCGCCAGGGTTCCCCGAGAGCCCATTTATCAAATGTCACTGAGCTGTCAACAGTTGCCATAACACCATTCTTCAAGGAGCCATATACTTGCCCTTCAGGCAGACAGAAAGACAAGTAAGCACAGACAGACAGGCAGATAGAGACAGACAGACAGACATGTTTGTGTGTAACTGTGATAAATACAGCAAGGGTTAGCTAAATACATGAGTGAGTGTGGGGGGTGTGAGCTGAACCTGATTAGCTTGTGCTACTAGGTCTGATGTCGTGCTCCTTCCTTCAGTGGATGTGACCTGACTAGGTGGGTCATTGGTGTAAGACGGTGGGGGGGGGGAATAGGATGGGCCAGTAGGCCTGCTGCAGTGTTCCTTCTTTCTTATGTTCTTATGTATTCAGCAGGCTGGCCGGCTGGTCGGCTGGGTAGCTTTAGCTGTCTCTCTGTCTCTCTCTCACATGCACACATAAGTACAGTTATACATAGTGTAAATTACCTAGGATAACCCAAAAATTCCAGGCAAAGATAGACAGACGGACAGATAGACAGATGGACATGTTTGTGCGTATCAGTGAAAACAAATGAAGCCAGGGTTCCCCAAGTGCCCATTTATCAAATGTCACTGAGCTGTCAACAGTTGTAATAACACCATTCTTCAAGGAGTTTGATATAAGTATACTCCAGGCAGACAGAAAGACAGATATGCAGAGACAGACAGGCAGACAGATAAACAGAGACAGATAGAAAGACAGGCAGACAGATAGAGAGACAAGACATGTTTGTGTGTAACAGTGATAACAAATACAGCTGAGGGTTAACTGGAGCAATTCACATTTATCAAATGTCACTGGGCTGTCAACAGTACAGGGATGCCTTTCATAACACCATGCTTCAAGGTATATACCAGGGCATCTTAAACATTGCTGGGACCTATAAATACTTTGTATATATTTTTAGAAAATAGTAAATAACCCAGGCAGGTGTAAATGTTCACCTGTCAATGTGATTGCAACTATTTGAGCACTATTTCAGTACCTAATATTAGTGTCAGAACAAAGATTGGCTATGAAATCAAAAGAATTATTATAAATTGTAATCATCAAAACATAAAAAATACATAAATTAAAATCAAAACATGAATAAAAGGTATATCGGCAACACGTCTGCAAGCGGCAGGAGTCGATGTTGCCATCCAGTGAGCATCCAGATCCAACTTCACAGTCTTATACCTCGGTAAGTACTGACCCTAATTTTTTTTTTTATCCTATAACATGTAGAAAAATGTGCTCTTCAATTAAAAAAATTTTTTTTTTTTTTTTTTCAAAATATTCGGAGTGCCACGTGAGTGAACGTAGATATACGATTGGACAGTTCAAGGGTTAAAAGAAAAATGAAACTCGGTAATGAAAACAGGGACAGTAAAACTGGTTTGAGTGGTATCAATAAACTTTATGAGCAGCATGTTTATGCATGAAAATGTTTCACTACACAGTGGCTTCATCAGTCCAATACAAAGAAGAATGGTGAAGATCAGGAGGAGTTTGAGGTAATCAGTCCCTCAACTTGGAAATGATGTAATTAGTCCATCAATTTTGATAAGAATACAGCATAAGTATGAAGAAGGGGCTTATATACTGCAGACAGGTGTGGTGAAGCAGTCGTAGGCAGTGTCACCTTGGACAAATCCAGAGGTGGAAGTAGGTGACGCATATAGATTAGGCAAGCATAGAATTTCCTGCATTAAGATCCCAAGATATTGCTGTGTCTGACAGGAATGTAGATAAATGGTTCAGAGAACTGACAAATTGATAAATCAGACAGTATGTGCAACACTTGGGCACCTTTATTATGGAAATGTTCTGCCACACAGTGGGAAAACATTTCCACAATAAAGCTACCCAAGTGCTGTACAGGTGTCTAATATATCAAGACTAACAAAAGGAGATGATCTGGTTTTCTCTCAATTTAGATATAGGAATAATAAGAGTGAGAAATATTACAGGCGAGTAATCTTGCAGTATAAAGCTTTGATTACTTAGTGGAAGTAGGGACACAGATTAGAAGAAAATATATGAGGAAAAAATAAAAAAATAAAAGCCAGATAAGAGAGGATTGTGAAGGGTTCCAAAACTTCCAGGAAAAGTGCACTGGGAAATGGAAGTAAAGCATCAGATGATGATGGATGGCCTAGGAATAGTATGAGAAGGCTTGTGCATAGGAGTAGGTAATGGCATACTGGGCATAGATGTGGTTTAATAGTCTACTTCTGTATACAAAAATACCTACTTTTTCAGGAAGTCCCTGGCGAACATACGGTGGAGCTGGTGTTCTCAGCCTCACCGATCCTGACCACTTGTTTTCAGATGAGAACCCAGGTTCCTTAAAATCAGGAGTCTTTTATTAACATAGCAGAGTGCATAATATAAGAGAGATAATAACCATTATAAATAAAGAATACATTCTCAGGTCATTCTAACTTGGTGAGAAATCACTGATGTAGTAAAAAAAGAAATAACTAACAGACCTATATATGAGCTACTTTTTGATAATGAAAAAAGTACATGTTTGATGGTACAATTTGCCAACAAATATGGCAAAAAAAAAAAAAACTTAGCAATGTACTTGTTAACCGACAATTTGGACTTACGACGGCCTCTAGGACCAATATGCATGCCTAAATAATGTACATTAGAGCCAATTTCCTCTATTTTGTTTATTACAATATGCAGTACACTACTCTATAAACATTTAAAAATGTACTAAAAATGTTATAAATGGTGCAAAGGTGACATTAAAATAATATCAAAGATGGTTGACACAAACCCACTACCATTATAGTATGCTCCTTGCTTGGCAATGAATTCATTTACTGACATGGTCTCAGGAACAGAACTCCATTGTTAAGTGAGGAGAGGCTGTAGTAGTAAAGTGGATTTAATGTGCATAATGTTAAACAAATTTAAACATAACTGAAAAATTATAATATTGTCTTCATAATCTTCTGTTTTTAATATATAACTCCAAAGACTTAGAAGAATAGTTAGGGAATAAGGAAAGGTAAAAATGGAGGCAAAGAAGGGAATGTATGAAAGTATAGTAGTACCAACACTCTTATATGGATGTGAAGCTTGGATGGTAAATGCACCAGCGAGGAGACGGTTGGAGGTAGTGGAGATGTCCTGTCTAAGGGCAATGTGTGGTGTAAATATTATGCAGAAAATTCGGAGTGTGGAAATTAGGAGAAGGTGTGGAGTTAATAAAAGCATTAGTCAGAGGGCAGAAGAGGGGTTGTTGAGGTGGTTTGGTCATTTAGAGAGAATGGATCAAAGTAGAATGACATGGAAAGCATATAAATCTACAGGGGAAGGAAGGAGGGGTAGGGGTCGTCCTCGAAAGGGTTGGAAAGAGGGGGTAAAGGAGGTTTTGTGGGCAAGGGGCTTGGACTTCCAGCAAGCGTGCATGAGCGTGTTAGATAGGAGTGAATGGAGACGAATGATACGTGGGACCTGACGATCTGTTGGAGTGTGAGCAGGGTAATATTTAGTGAAGGGATTCAGGGAAACCGGTTATTTTCATATAGTCGGACTTGAGTCCTGGAAATGGGAAGTACAATGCCTGCACTTTAAAGGAGGGGTTTGGGATATTGGCAGTTTGGAGGGATATGTTGTGCATCTTTATACGTATATGCTTCTAAACTGTTGTATTCTGAGCGCCTCTGCAAAAACAGTGATAATGTGTGAGTGTGGTGAAAGTGTTGAATGATGATGAAAGTATTTTCTTTTTGGGGATTTTCTTTCTTTTTTGGGTCACCCTGCCTCGGTGGGAGACGGCCGACTTGTTGAAAAAAAAAAAAAAATGGAGGGAAGAGGACTATGACGAACTAAACAAAGAATGTGAATTAATTATACCCTGTTCGGAAGAGACTTACCTGTAGTTGGTCCACACTCGACTATATCCTTCACTGCCCTGATCTGGATAAATCCCCACATCACCAATAGATTTATAACTAATTAATAAAAGGATTGTAGATCCCCTGGTGTATTAATAACACCAAGGTATTCAGAGAGCTTGAAACTATGTCTGAATAACTATACAAATTTAATTGCACTGACATTCACTGGTAATCACTACTTTATAGATCATATACATGTACTGTCCTATTTCCGTAATAAACATAGAATAACAACACTGTTAAAATTAAAGGTTACAGGTTATAGTTTTTTAAAAAGGCATGGACATGTAAACTTCCCTAAGCTCACCTTACATAAAGGCAATGTCCTGACTAGAAAAATTACCTAGGTTTTCCCCCCATTATATTATTCAGATGGCCGAGGAGGGGTTGTTAAGATGGTTTGGTCATTTAGAGAGGATGGAGAAAAATATGATGGCTTGGAGGGTGCATAAATCTGTAGTGGAGGAGAGGAAGGGTAGGGGTCTTCCTATGAAAAGATGGAGGGAGGAGATAAAAGAAGTTTTTTGTGCAAGGGGCTTGGATATACAGAAGGCATGTGAGAGCATGTTAGATGGGAGTGAATGGAGATGAATGATTTTTGGGACTTAATGAGCTGCTGGAGTGTAAGCAGGGTAATATTTTGTGAAGGGATTCAGAGAAACTGGTTAGAAGGATTTAAGAGTCCTGGAGGTGGGAAGTATAATGCCTGCACTTTAAAGGAGGGGTTTGGGATATTTGCTGTTTGAGTGACATCTGAAATGTCATATCTGAGTGCCTCTGCAAAGATAATGATTATGTGTGAATAATGATGAAAGTGTTTCTTTCTGTTTTGGGTCACCCTGCCTTGGTGGGAAACAGCCAATGTGTTTTAAAAAATCTATCCTAATGAGGCCTCGCAAATTCAGATATAACATGATGGAAATGAGTTTGGTACTTTTCTGGGAGGGAAGTAGAATTCAAGTTTCAGGAGCTTTCAGTCAAGTGAATCCACGCGAGTTGCTTCTGTGGTTGTAAATTTAAAAAAATCCGCATTTATTGGCTATACCTTGGGTCATGGTATACGTCCACATAACATTTCAACACTGAATAATCAGGAATACCTTATCAGGGCACTCAAAACCTCAAAATTAACATGTCACATAAATGGTATTGACCCAATCAATATTTGCCACTCAGTCCCCAAAAACAAGGTGCCTCCTGAGTGGGTACATATGGAGTGCACTGATGTGTCCAGATCAAGGCAGTAGGAGCACAATGTGAAATGAATTTATAATAAGGTGGATGAATAGATTCAGACAACCACTGCATCATCTCTATGTTGAACATGGAATAAGAGGTAACTAAAATGCTGGGAGCAAGGGGCTAGTAACCCCTTCTGCATAAATTACTAAATATAAAAAAAAACTTTGCTTCTTTCTTTTTGGGTCACCCTGCCTTGGTGTGAGATGGTTGTGTTTAAAAACATCAATTACTGATGTAAATATAGTCTTATCCTATATAATTAAAGTGCTAAATGCTTCTCTAACTACATCTTAATAGTAATCATTAATGACAATAATCTAAAAAATGCTAAACATTTTTCAGTGACAGACAGACATGAGGGATAAGGAAAAGGGGGATGGGAAGCAAGGAAGGAGTACAAAGAGGAAGCAGAGGAGGAGGAGAAAAGGGCAACAACACAAATGATGAAGAAAAGAGACAGAACTGAAGAGAAGAGAGAAAAGAGAAACAAAAAGTAGAGGAGATAGGAATAAGAATGCAGAAAAAAGGAAAAGAAGAGAGAATTAAAGATGAGAAGATGAGAGAAAAGAGGATGAAGAGAATGGGAAGATGCAAGAGGAAGAGAGGTGTGCTACTCCACTGTCATCTATAACTAGAATAGATGTGATAGAAATCTTTGCCTGTCCTATGGACATAATCAGTCTTTATTTAACAGTAGCACTCTCCTTTGGATTTGAAAATATGTTAAGGTTTTAGTTTTGGAAAGATGATAAATTCAAGAATTATAAGGCAGAAAAAGTTCTATGTATCCTTCTGGTTCTTCTTCAAATAAATGTTCACTGCTATAGATCCTGAGGGCATGTAGAAAGAAATCTATCATTAGCCCTCTCTTCATTCTGAGGGAAGTAGTAAACTACATCATCTTTATTTGCTGGCTTCCTGTAGAATTTGTCCCTTAAAGTGTCATTATCCCTGATAAGGAATACAATGAAACAAGGCAGGGAGGCATTCTGTTCTTCTTCCAAGGTGAACTGTACAGAGGATTCCACCTGGTTGAGTTGTTCTCAGAAGATATGAAGGTTGAAACATCTGTGTACTACGACCAAGATATCACTGACGTAACTTAACCATAAAATGTGGCAGAGAATGTTGGTGAATGGGTCTCTCTCCAGATGCTCAAGGTAGAGGTTGGCCAGGATTGTACTAAGTGAACCCTTGGCCATCACAAGCTTCTGTTTATAGAATCTGTCCTCATATAAGAACAGACTCAATACGATCAATGAAATCCTGTGCAGATACAAGGAGTTTTTTGCCAGTGGTCAATGGAGACTTGACAAGCCTGGCCCCATGGTTGAGATCCAGGAGAAGAAAAATTCTTGGAACTCATCAAAGGTATCAAAAGAGTACATAAGGTGGTGCATAGACTGGCAAACTCTTGTTTTTGATGGCAGTGATGTACATGTACATTGCTAGTTTTGGCATGTTATGTACTTAATAGTCTCATATAGGTGAACCATCATAATAATGAAGGTCTCCTTTTGCTACATCTGTTTACCTACTTGTTGAAGCATGGAAGAGAGAAGAGAAAAAAAAAGTGGGAGGGAGGGGAAAGCAGAAAAGACAGATGAAGACAGCAACAGGAGGGCAGAGGAATAGTAAAAAGAGGAACATAAGAAAGGGAAAATAAAAGTGTGGTTGCAATTTATTCAAATATACTGCATTACTAATACATATTATAATGTACTGCACTACTACTACTTATTCTAACCTAATCTTGAAGAAAAAAAGAAAAAAGATTTCAGTTACCTCTTGAACAGTTCCTGAATCAGAAGACTGGTGAACACGATCACTTCCAGATGAAGAATCAGATTCTCCTCCTACAGAGCATCCAGAAGAGTCCCCTGGGTCACCCTCAGAAGTGCCAGAATCACCTGACAAGTTACGTCCTTGGCGCTCACTTCCCGGTTTTATGAGCTAAATCACAAACAAACATTTCACTACTGATATTAAATTGAACTATATTTATGTACTTTGAAATATGTACTGGAGAAAAACAAGCATATGCCTTGTTTAAGTTCCTATGCAGCACTGTGTAGACAAAGTTTATTAAGTGTCTAATTCTTAATTTAATACATAGATTCCTTATTTAAGCGTTTAATAAATATTTGCATTTATAGTTCTTGTTAATTACAGAAAGTCAACAAGAAATGTTGCTAATTCTTGCTTAGGGCAAGTACTCTTCATAAAAGCAACACACATCTTAACAAATTCTAGTCATCCCTAGAAATCTGCAGGCTTCTTTATTTATGACCTTCAATTATCCATTTTTACTGAGGGGTACTTAACAAATAGTTTTAATTGTTTACAATTTTTCTGCCTTGATGGTTTTCTCATGCTCAAATCTCTTTTAATTGTGTTCATTATGTTTTATGAATGTCAATATGGTATTAGCTAGATTTAAGTGATATGTTACAGATATATGGACTCATAAAAAACAAAATGATCTCAAATCTGAAGTGAAATATGTTATGAAGACTGAATTTTGTATTGGTTTTATTTACTTTTTATTTACTCTAGGACTGTAACCTCCTCCTGCATGAATTTGTAGGAATGACTACCGAAAAACAGCACATAAAAAAATTATGATAGATTTTAAAAGTAAATGCAGCTCGGATATACATTTTAATTTGTGCATGAACATCCGCTGCAACTATTAATCTTATATTAAATTTAAATTCATACTACGATATTGCTAGCTTAATAAAAAAAAAATTGTGCTAGGGACTAATCAGCTGTGCAACTGCAAGAAGTAAACTACTTTGTATATGCGCAGCATGTAATACTGTTTAGGCAGATTACAAAAATAATACTATTATTGTAGAAAAGTTTTAGAGAAGAAAATGTACTCCTATTAAGTACTTGCAGTTCAACTTGATACACAAAACTGTATTTTGATATGTGATAAACAATATTTAAATAAAAAAAAAAAAATTGCTTACAAGCTTTAACCCCTAAACGCTCCAAACGTATATATACGTTCACTTGCGTAGTGCCCCAAATTTTTTGAGAATTTTTTTTTTTTAATAGGAAAAAAGAGCATATGGTACCCAGGCGTCCCCAATTATTTTAATATGGTGCACAGTGAGTGCGCACACCCATTCTCTCATGTCTAGGTGATTCAGGCTTGTTGTGGCAATGTTGAATGAATGACAAAGAAAACGTATATATACGTTTGGGGCGCTATGCACGTGAATGTTTATATACATTTGGACCGTTTAAGTGTTAATAATTAACAGATTTATACAGCTTCATCATTCTTCTAACTTTATAACCAAACAACTTTATTTTTCTGCATTTTCAACCCTTTGAGGGTCGAAATCTCCTCATCCTTAACTCACTCTCAGGGTAAAAAAAAAAAAAAAAAAAAAACCTTAGGAAATGATAGAGAATCTTTTCCCAATGGTAATGACACTAAAAGTACAAAATTTTATGGAAAACTTAGGAAATTACACTCTCGCAAAGTTAGCAATATTAATGATATTTACGCATCGGCGATTTCGCCCACTTTGAGCCCTATTTTCGACCAATTTCATTGTTCCAGTCGACTAAATTCATACCTATTTTACTAGAACTCCATTTGTTCTAACGACTGAGTACAAGAAACCACCCATTTACCAATTTCAACTACCCGATAAAGTGGTCAGAAATTGGCAATTTGGCCAATTTCAAAACAGGGTCCAAAATAAACAAGACAGACATTCCTGGTACTTAAATAACATTTTCTCTGTTCATTAGTCACATCTCCAGGCCCCTCTTATATTACTCTTGCTTTTCATTTTGAATTTTTATTCTCACAAAAAATTAGAAGATTTACTGTTATGCAGACTACTGTATTATTGTAAAAATGGTATAAATAATATCAGAGTACTTGTGAAAAAATATTAGACTCACTAGTTGATGTGTACTGGACGCGTGGCATGATTTGTTTACTCTTGAACACTGGCAAAAATCGAACATTTCCGCTATTTTGAGCTCATTTTCAAGGTACTTTTCATCATGAAACCAATTAAAATCATCTCTATTTCTGTAAGGTATTTTCCATTCTATCAAATGAGGCCAAGAAAAAGAGAATACAACCATAAATACCATACGAAAATACACTGCAAAGTCACTGTTTTAAACCAAAAACATGGTCAGAGTTTTTTTTCCTCATTATGCACTGCGGGCTGCAGGATTTATTTTATACTGTGCACACCGACTATGCAGACCTATTCTTTCAAATGTAGGCCTACCAGTTTTCTTCCCCCAGATTCAAAGGTGCTAGAATTTTGGCGTGTAAATACGGGACCAACACTGGCTATCAAGCCGTACATATATGGGACCGACCCTGAAAGGGTTAATTCAATCAGTAATGATATATGATTAAAGGATGCCAAGGAAATAATCTATATTAGTTTCTCTCCCGTCTGTCCTCCAACAGTTAGTTATATCTTACCCTAGCTGCCTCCTCCTTTAGTTTATAATCCTTCACTTCTCTCTTACTTGTTGCTTCCATTTTCCTCGTATCCCATCTACCTTTTACTCTCACTGTTGCTACAACATTAAAATGATCTGATATATCTGTGGCCCCTCTATAAACTTCAGGATGTACATGTTTATAGAGGTGCCACAGATATATCAGATCACATTTTAGTTGTAGCTACAGTGAGGGTAAAAGGTAGATTGGATACAAGGAAAATAGAAGCAGCAAGTAAGAGAGAGAGGTGAAGGTTTATAAACTAAAGGAGGAGGCAGTTAGGGTAAGATATAAACAACTGTATAAACAACTGTTGGAGGACAGATGGGCTAGTCAGAGTATAGACAATGGGGTAGAAGATGTATAGGGTAAGTTTAAGAATATAGTGTTAAGAGTGTTCAGCAGAAGTTTGTGGTTACAGAAAAGTGGGTGCGGGAGGGAAGAAGAGCGACTGGTGGAATGATGATGTAAAGATAGTAGTAAGAGAAAAAGTTAGCATATGAGAGGTTTTTACAACATAAAAGTGATGCAAAGGAGGAGGAGTATATGGAGAGAAAAAGAGAGGTTAAAAGAGTGGTGAAGCAATGTAAAAAGAGAGCAAATGAGAGAGTGGGTGATATGTTATCGACAAATTTTGTTGAAAATAAGAAAAAGTTTCGGAGTGAGATTAAAAAGTTGAGAAAGCCTAGGGAAAGAATGGATTTGTTAGTTAAAAATAGGAGAGGAGAGTTATTAAATGGAGAGTTAGAGGTATCAGGAAGATGGAGGGAATATTTTGAGGTATTGTTAAATGTTGATGAAGATAGGGAAGCTGTGATTTCGTGTATAGGGCATGGAGAAATAACATCTTTTAGGAGTGAGGAAGAACCAGATGTGAGTGTGGAGGAAGGGTGTGGGGCAGTGGCTAGAATGAAAAGGGGTGAAGTAGCTGAGATTCATGAGATGAAGACAGAAATGTTAAAAGCGGGTGGAGATATACTTTTGGAGTGGTTAGTGTTTTTATTTAATAAATGAATGAAAGAGGGTAACGTACCTAGGGACTGGCAGAGAGCATGCACAGTTCCTTTGTATAAAGGCAAAGGGGACAAAAGCGAGTGCAATTTTTTTTTTTTTTAACAAACCGGTCGTATCCCACTGAGGCAGGGTGGCCCAAAAAGAAAAACGAAAGTTTCTCTTTTTAAATTCAGTAATTTATACAGGAGAAGGGGTTACTAGCCCCTTGCTCCCAGCATTTTAGTCGCCAATTACACCACGCATGGCTTACGGAGGAAGAATTCTGTTCCACTTCCCCATGAAGAGGAAATAAACAAGAACAAGAACTAGAAAGAAAATAGAAGAAAACCCAGAGGGGTGTGTGTATACATATGCTTGTACATGTATGTGTAGAGTGACCTAAGTCCAAGTAGAAGTAGCATGACATACCTGAAATCTTGCATGTTTATGAGACAGACAAAAGACACCAGCAATCCTACCATCATGTAAAACAATTACAGGCTTTCGTTGTACACTCACTTGGCAGGACAGTAGTACCTCCCTGGGCAGTTGCTGTTTACCAACCTACTACCTAGAGTGTAAAAATTATAGGGGAATATGTCTGTTCAGTATACCTGGTAAAGTGTATGGTAGAGTTGTTATTGAAAGAATTATAAGACAGAGAGCAGGATAGCAGATGAACAAGGAGGCTTTAGGAAAGGTAGTGTGTGTGTAGACCAAGCGTTTGCAGTGAAACATATAGGTGAACAGTATTTAGATGAGGGTAAAGAGGTTTTTGTGGCATTTATGGATATGGAAAAGCATATGATAGGGTGGATTAGGGGTGGGGGCAATGTGGCAGATGCTACAAATGCATGGAATAGGAGGAAGGTTATTGAAAGCGGTGAGGCTCAGGTTAGAGTATGTAGGCGAGAGGGAGATTATTTCCCAGTAAAAGTAGGCCTTAACCCTTTCAGGGTTGCCAGGCCCTCTCCGAGACTTGTTCTCAGGGTCGAAAAAAAAAAAAAATTTCCCGATCATAATGACACCAAAAGTATGAAATTTGATGGAAAACTTACGGAATTATGCTCTTGCGAAGTTAGCGGTCTTGATGATGTTTACGCATCGGCAATTTTTCTCACTTTGAGCTCTATTTTCGGCCAATTCCAGTGTACTAGTTGACAAAAATCATAACTATTTCGCTAGAACTCCATTTTTTCTATCGAATGAGTACAAGAAACCACCCATTTACCGATTTCAACTATCCAATAAGGTGGTCAGAATTTAGCAATTTTGCCAATTTCACACAAACTTCAAAAGATGCCAATTTCCGAATAGGGTCCAGAATAAACAAGAAAGACATTCCTGGCACTAAAATAAGTTCTCTGTTCGTTAGTCACATCCCCAGGCCCCTCTTATATTTCTTTGGCTTTCCACTTCGAATTCTTATTCTTGCAAAAAATAGAAGATTTACTGTTATGCAGAC